GGACTCGGGAGCTATAATAGGTTTGGTAACCAGGCTAGAATCTTCAGTCTTTGTTTTGGCTTGAAGTACCAAGGTATCAAAGAATAACGTTGTGGACAAAATTCCATGTCCATTCTAAGGTTTTCTACAACTATTGCGATAATTCTGAAATATTATTCGCAAGGCAGTAGATGCTGACTGTTTCTTATTTTCGTCACATCAACTATTGTGGTAGTGATGGTGATACATGTATATGATTAGCCCTATACTGTATAAGCTCTTGATGTATAGTAATTGGGATTTTAACTTTAATTCTATACCCTTTTTTGTACTATGTTCAATAGTCGTTGCCACACATTGCACCTTGTACAATTGTCGAGCAATCAAGTTCGATATAAACATGAAAATTGCATTCGGTAAGGAATGTAAGGAACGTATGGAATCTGATATTATAGTAGTAAAACCCTCCATTTTTAGAACTTAGTGATTGCCCAATCCGCCCAATCGTGGTGTACTGGACCGTATGCTAACAGCGCGAAAGCGCCTCTTGCGGAGAAAAGCTAAGTGCAGTTTCTAATTGCCATATAATTGCACAAATATGTTGAAATTTAGACGTAAAGCATAATCACATTTTTGGTGCAAAAAAAGTTACATAATTCAGAAAAGAGTGCTTCAACGATATATCTGGCAGAGTACGTCGGCAGAACGTACTGCATCTACGCAAAACCCCGATTTTTCACGGTTTTCGGTGAATTTTTGGTCAACGTTGCATCAGAATTTTGCCTGTTGCAGACGATTTCTTTTTTAGACATAAAATTTAGAAACTACAGACGGGATGTCAACCTTACGTGGGCGAATACAACCTTATATGAGACGTTCTACCGAAGTGCTATGCACAATACATTACATGTTTCGCGCAGGTGCAGTACGTTCTGCCGACGTGCCAATATGTGGCACATTTCAAGTCATAATCCCAAGATCCTTTGGGGCAGTCCTTGTGTTAATCTCCCCTTTCAAGAAGCGAGCCGCCGTCAGCTAAAAAAAACTAGTCTGACTACTTTTAGTCTGACTACTGATTTAAGAAGTAGGTCTTTCCGTCTAGATTCCAACAATGAAATTACATAGGAAACCATGTTTTAACCAAAAGGAGAAGAGAACAATTGTTGAGGCTGACTACAAAGGTTCATGATGAGTTCATACTTCACCTGGTCGTCAGGTGTTAAGGAGGGACCAGCCAAGAAAAAGGTAACGAAATTTCTTTTGAGAAGGCTACTGTTGTGGTAAGGTTGGTGTGTGTTGGGGGGGGGGGTAGTTGTGTTGGATGGGCGTCGACCTGTTAATCCTGCGTTTCAAGAGAGATGCGCATCAAGTACGCTAAAGGCATAAAGGTATTTTAAAGAAGGCATAAAAGTACGTTGAAAATCCATAGAAATACATGGAACAATTTAGGGCTAGGCCAATTTAGGCCATGGTGTTCGTGTGTGTGTGGTTTGGGGGGGGGGGGGGGGTTAGATACAAACAACTGCTTATGCAACTATCGCAGAGTGGAACTCGCTGCCACCATGTACAGTAGGGGTATCATTACTTGATAGCTTTAAACAATGTTTAGAGTACCTGCCGCCGCGCCACGTGCCTGCGAAGCTGGTGTGTTATGCCGTATGGCGGTTATACCGGCTATACAGATAAAGCTACATATTCTTAGTGATGCTTATTAGTGCAGAACAGTTGTGTTATGCCATGGACCGGTATTACCTGTTATAATATGCATATAGAACATACAGTCAATACACAAACCTGTTTGTCTGCAGTTTGAAAGAAAACCGCTAGGGTGTCTCATGTTGCAGTACCATTGGTGGAGGCCAAGGCCAAAAAAACCAAAGCGAACATAATGATGTACACGTATTTCCGTATAGCACTGCTATTGCATTCGATTTGCATTCCACTCCGTGTTATTCCAAAACATTTCTTGGAATGGACCACGTTTTGGAATACAGGTGTCTTCCATTTCGTAGTATAATTCCAAATCATGTTTTGGAATGGGAAACGTTTTGGAATGCAAAAACTAGCCTTCAAGTCTCACATATGGTTGACAGAAGAACTGTTAGAGAACGGATCTGGGACGATATCGTATTTAAAGCTTAGGTTTTTTCTTGGGGGAAGTCATATTAATTTGACATTGAAACTTGGACGGCAAGTTCTGCATCTCCATAGTTAAAGAATCATAATGAAGAGTCTTTAGAACGGATTACTTTTGTAA